GAATAACACGGTACAGCTATGCGAGGAATTTCTTCGAGCATGGGAAGAAGCAGGCTACGATGCCTACAAGATGGAAGTTGATCACCAGCTCCGCGTGGAGTGGCCAACAGTCATGGAGAAGCATCGCAACCTGTTACAGCGCGACACAAGGACGCGTGCCCCCAAGGGACGCGATAGCGACGGCCGCGCGTATCCATGGGCCACCAGTAGCACTGCCGCGCCAATTCCCCCGTCAGTACCCGACAGGGCCAGTAACCCCACGCACACATCCTCCCCAGGCGAGCCCAGTGGAGATGGCCAGCGGTACCCGTGGAGCAAGCCTAGAGTAGCCACGGCTGCCCCGCCGGAGTACACTGACTACAGGGTTGCCGCGCAGACGGGCGCATCCAGCTCAGCCGCCCCATGGCACCCACGGCCGCCCTGGGAGGGGTGGGGCCGCCGGGAAAGCTCATGGAGCGGCGCGGACTGGGGTGCCAGGGAGAAAAGGACCGCCCCGAGAGGCGACGTACACTATGCCGACAAGCGACAGCGAGGGCGGGACCTCGACCGCAAGTGACGCTGGTGACCGGCCATGAGGCGAGGCCAGTGCTCCAGACCCAGGGAAGGCTGGCCCCGTTATATACACGCGGCCGTGGGTCGTGGGATGGCGCTGACATGAACCCTCCGGGTCACACTGGCCTTGAGCTGTCCCGTTACAAGGGGTGGCTCTCTTCACCGAAGTGACAGGCAGCAGCCTTAATACCCTTGTCACCTCCTGGGAGTGAGGTGTACAACTCACCCTCTGGCTCCTCTCCCCCCCTTATTCAAATGTCCACCGGCTATCGGCTGCTTTCCTCCTCTCCCTCTTGACGCCGGCGACTTGGTGACTGGCTGACGGCGGATGACGTTCACAAGGCCTGCCCCACGCAGGCAGGGGACGCCAACTTAGGCTGGCTCTGGGGACGGAGGAATCCCCCTGGACTGCAGCGGCTACTGGCAGTCCCCCCCTTGATGGGAAATCGTTTCACCGCAGTGGCAGGCCCTGGCTTCGTTACCCGTGCTACCTCCTGGGAGTGAGGTGCACCCCCACACTGCGCCTAGACCCCCACGGCACTCCGTGGGCTCTTAGACCGTGCGGTCGGCTGAAATAACCCCACCCACGGCTCTTTGGCCGCGCTGAACGCGGGCCCGTGGAGGACCGGGGCGACTGGCTGAAGGCCCCCCCCTCACCCTCCACACTTTGAAGTCCGTCGGCTTGCCCACGTGGCTTCCCCCCCACGACGGCGCCACGCGCCTCGACCCCCCACTTCACGTGTTGGGTCCTCCTTTGGAGGCGTCTGCATCCGACGCCTCCCTTCGATATATTCAATGTTCCGCGGCTATCGGCTGCTTCTCCTTTCTCCGTCGGCGCCACCATGGCAGAGAGGCGACCACGTGCGGTGGATCTCTGGCCATTCATGGGGCACTTCTTGGGGATGAGGTGTTCCTCTCACTGCGTGGTGCGGCGATGCTCGCCTCGGGTGATGTGGGCCGGCCAGTGGCATCGCCTTTTGTATCTGGCTTCCAGATCCTGTGGTGCTCACGGCGTCAGGTCCCCTTCTTCCTGTCCGACATTTCCCCCGTTCGCCGACCTGGCCGACACTTGACAGGTGACGTCGACTTCCCGAAGTGGACCTGCGTCGGGTCGCCGGCGAGCACAGGGGGCCAGGTGAGTGAGTCCGCCTCTTCCGGTTTGCTCTTTTCGTCCCCCCCCTGTCTTCCTGTTTTGTGCAGGGGATGCGCCTGCCGGTTCTATTTCTGGTCAGCTGTTGTTAGGACAGTCGATCGAATGTTCTGGCCTGGTCTCGCAGCGTCCTGCTCTGCATGTTGCACGTGGGTGGCGCCCTCTTGGCGGCCTCTACCGTCCGTGGCCTGGCCCTTCTAATTATCTGGCTTCGCGCCTCCTTTTCCTGCCGAATTTGTCTTGGGCAGTGTCTGCCCTTGCCGTTCCGGTCGGCTGTTGTTAGGACAGTCGGTCCAAGTTCTGGCCTGGTCTCGCCGCGTTTCCTGCATGTTGAGTGTGGGTTGGCGCCCTCTTGGCGGCTCCCTCCAGTCGTGGTCGGCCTTCACTAATTATCTGGCATTGCGCCCCATTGCTTATTGACACGCCCTCTGGACTTTTCCTTGCGGGCCGCCGAACAAAAAAGTATCCCCACCAGCCCATCCAGAAGCAGATCGCCATGCGAGTTGCCTTGATCAGGGAAGTACAGAAGAGTGCAGTGCAACAACCGCCTTGGAAGCGTTTTCTCGGAGGTCTCTCCGAGCCATCTTGGGGCCATCTTGGAATCCTCGCGGAGCTTCTTGGGGAAGTCTTGAAGCCCTCTTGGGGGTCTCTTGGGGCCTTTGGGGGTCCTCTCGGGGCTTGTTGGTGCGGTCTGGGAGGCCTGCCTCTTGGGGCCATCTTGGCCTCCATGACTCAAAAAGGGAGAGGGCTTAAATCCAGGTCCCCCCCTCGGAGGCTCAAACATGGCATCTTGGGGCCGTCTTGAGGCGCGCTTGGAGAGCTCTTGGGCGCTCTTAGAGCCCTCGTGGGCCCTCTTGGGGCTCTCTTGGGCTGTCTCGGGGCCATCGTAAGGCCTCAAGAGCCCATCGGAAAGGGAAAAGGCGAGAAGGCGAAACACATTGTTTTTCCATCGATGTTGGGGCCATTTGGCCCTCTTGGGCGGGTCCTTGGAGGACTCGGAGGGCAATGGGCACCGTCTTGGGGCCGTCTTGAGGCCTGCTGGATGTTTGTCGGAGGCCATCTTGAGCCACGCCCTCCCAACACATACGTGACACCTGAAGGAGTCTCAGCATGTTGCTTAGGAATGCCACGCATGCCATGTGCGCCACGGGTTCCAGGTTCACCAAGCACCCTGGAGGCCCAAGCGAGTCAAGCGCGCCAAGTGCGGCACGTGCTCCACGTTTAAGCAATATGCCGGCCCCCACGCCGTTCCTATCAAAAACCAATTCGCAGTGGTCGCGGGGCACCCGCGCATGCTCCAGATGTGGAGGCAATGCATTCAATATTTTTTCTGGGGGGGCAGGGATGGGTGGCCTGCGCGCAGCGAGCAATATGACGGCACCCCCGCCGTCCCTGTCAACAAACAATGCAAAATGGTCGCGGGGCGCCTGCACTCGCTCCAAATGTGGAGGCAACATGTCTTGAGTATTGTTTCTGGACAGGGATGTCTGGCTGGCGCGCAAAGAGCAGTATGACGGCACTCCCGCCGTTCCTGTCAAAAGCCACAGCAAAATGGTCGCGGGGCGCCCGCATTGTTTGTGGACAGGGATGGCAAGCTTGCGCGCAGCGAACAATCTGACGGCACTCCCGCCGTCCCTGTCAAAAACCAATGCAAAGATTGGGAGGCAAGATGCATTCTGTATTGTTTTTTGACAAGGGTGGTCGGGGGGGGAGCATTTCCCGGGTTGGCCCATAGTCGAGTGGGGGAAGGGATGTATATAAAGAAGGGGCAATGATAAACCACTCCCCCGAGCAGGGGAATGAAGGGTTCTGGCAGAGAGAAAGCACAACTCGTTACACCACCTACGCCCTAAAAGGCTAATGGGATTCTCTACGCGTGCATATGTGCACGTCGTTCTATATACCGAAATCGGCCCGTGGTGTCCCGTGGCTGGAAAGTGTCATCGATACTGAAAGCAATAGTGAGATCGATAGTGCTATCGATATTGGGATCGTTAGTGAGCTCGATAATGCTATGGATATTGAGATCGATTGTGAGGTCGATCGTGAGATCGATTGTAGGGTCGATCGTGAGGGCGATAGTAAGGTCGATCGTGAGACCGATAATGACGTCGATTCAGTGAGATCGATAGTGAGATCGATCGTGAGATGGCTCGTGCGATCTATGGTGAGATCGATTGCGAAATCGAACATGGAATCGATTGTGAGATCGATAGTGCGGTCGACTGTGAGATCGATAGAGGTGGGCAATTTGATCGATGGTGAGGCCGATCAATCAAGAGATCGACCAGGAACCCGGGAGCACGGACACCTGGAAACACCGCCGCCAACCGAAATCGGCCCGGAACCAACAACCGGAACCTGGGAACCTGGAACCGGGAACTCGGGAACCTGGCCTCCCACCGAAATCGGCCAGGAACTTTCGCCAAATCTTCCAACCTCAACTAGGACCCCGTCAATGCCAACACTGGCTGGGGAATGCAGAAAGTCCAGCTTGTAGGGAAACGTGATTCCTTATGAGGAAGATTCAGGAGGCCTCGCGCGGCAACTTCAGACTCAATGTACGGCAGATTCCCGTAGCATTTACGTCGGGTTCACGTTGGATCCAGGTTGGACTTGTCGGAAAATCGCCGCGCGAACGTCGTCCCATACCGCGCGGACGCGTGGACTAGTTAATACAATTTGTGCGAGCTGCGCGAGGCCTCCATGGGACGTAGAACAAACTACTAGTACGATGTGTCATCCTTGTAGGCGTGCGTCCTCTTCGAACAGACAGTACAAACATTTTTTTACCCGAGCGGTATGGCCAGACAGCGCCCGCCACGGATATTCTACTGTAAGAGTCCTCGGCGAGCGCGTCGCCCCTGGGGGGGCGACGCACGCATAACATTAGTATACGGTGGGGGCATTGGGCACAGAACCCTCAGACAAGGAATCCAGGGCCTGGAAGCCGGTGGGACTCCAATCGTGGATCGGCCATGGCTACCACCGCCGCCCCCGTCAGACAAGGCATCCTGGGCCTGCAGCCTCCTGGGCACATTCCTAAACGAACGCCCCCCACCGTGTTGGGGCGACGCCGACTCCAGGATTTTCCTCATAGCTTTAGGTCGGGCATGTCCCCCTACAGGCGGATTTTGGAGGAAGTCAAACAATTCTCCAAAATGGAAGACACAGTAGAACAATCGTCCCCATACTTTTTTAGATACTATTTTTGAGCATTCGTCCTGTAGAGGGACAGGCCCGACTTAATCCTAGCTCGGCGACCCTCGAGCGCCGACGCTGTTCTGGGCGCGCCCGCCTCGAAGTTCGACCGCGCCCGCGCGCGCTGCGGCCCGCTCCTCTGGCTCTGGTCGGTGTCCACGGTGAGCGGCGGCGGCGCGTCCAGCTCCTCCACGCACAGGTCGAAGTCCACGGACTTCTCCCTCGCCATGTCCTGACCTCCACGGAGGGCAACGGCGCACCACCACCACCACGCCAATGCACATGCCCTCTCTGGGGCCAGATCTTGGCGCTGCTCGGCTCCCGGCCGGGCTGGGAGGCCATGCGCACTCCGGTCCGGCCCAACGTGGGCCTCGGCTCGCCTTTTGCCTGCGACCTGCCTTCGCCGTGCGACCCAGCAGCGACCCAGACGGCGCCGCCCTCCAGGGGTGCAGCCGACGGCTCTCGGGCTGGACCGCCTTCGCGCCGCGACGGGCGCCTTCCTCCCCGTTTCCCTCCTCGCTCTCCTTCTCCTCCTCCTGCTGCTCCTGGCCTGGTGGTGGCGGAACCGTTCGCCTCCTGCCTGCGACCTGCAGTGGGCCGCGGCGCCGGCGAGGCCCAGCTGAAGGAAGCCACGCGGTCGCGGCCCGGGGAGGGCACGAAGCTGCCAGAGTTGGCGCGCTCGAGGCGGAGGGCCTCCTCGAAGTTGGACACCTGCGGGCCCAGCAGGCAGCACGAGCCTTTGCCTACGGTCGGCCCGTATCACAAGGATGCGCGATGAGGATGCACGGGCCCTGGACGCCCCTTTCGAGGCTACTCGAGCGGGGCGCGGCCCACGAAAGTGGCCAAGGAAGGACCGAGGAGGCAAGGATGCACGGGTACCCTCGGGAAAGTTGCCCATCCTTCTTATACGGGTTGACTGTGCTCCTGACAAGCCCCTCCACGAGCTCAAACCTTTTTCGGGTAACCTCCTTGGAAAGGACCCAAAACACGACATGGCCAGACAGGGCCTCCACGAGCGAATTGGGCTCGATCCCTCATACAAGATCTGTCGAGCCCCCACAAATTATACGTTACACCACGTTTGGTGGTCACAACGCAACGTGTTACTGTAAGCACAAACACAAGAACTCTGCAAATCGCACAAAAACAGCACACACACAAACGCAAACACAATCAGAGACACTCTGCACTGTAAACACAAGGACATGAAAAAAAACAGTCGACATTCGCACAAGCACTCTGTTGGCTCGGAGCCAACAGAAGCTTGTGCGCATGTCGACTGCTTTTTCTGCTCATGCCACGTCTTCTCCGCCGTGGGCACCGGTTTGTTGAACCGCAGCGGCGCTGAGTCTGGAGCGAAGTTCTTGGGCCTCAGGAAGTGGAAGCATCCGCTGCAAACGGGCATGGCGGGCGGGGGAAAGGCTCCTAGCTGGCACGGACGACCCAACGCTGGTATTTCAAAATTTTGAGCAAGGCGGCT